CCATTTCCTCACCTCATCCATCTGCAATATCAATTGACACTGTAGGCGATTTAGATAGACTATGAAGCCTTGTTAATTCTGTAGAACGCCATACAAAATTTAGCACAGCATACTGCATTAAAATGAAACCTGGCCAGCAGCCAACATGCCGATTTAATTTCCCAAAAACTGTCAAGATGAAACTACCATTGACTTTCAGCTCATAACAAAAGCTGCCAGTGATGACCATGAATTAACAGTTGAGGAAATGACCCAAGCACAAGTGAAAGCAACACTTACCACGAAGCGAAATGATGGACGCATCAACTGCCACAACCATGTTATGTCACAACACTGGAGAGCCAATGTAGATCTTCAGGTCATCATTGACACTGACCAGTGCATGCGGTACATGGCAAAATACGCAACGAAAGGTGAACCTCGATCACAGTCCGCATCTGAGATACTCACTGCGTGTGTTAATAGACTCGATAATACAGACATGGCTTCATCTGCACTGCGAAGAGCAATGATTCAAGTCGCTTGAGAACGTGACATAGGATCTCAAGAAACTGCACATATGCTTCTTGGAAAACCATTGTATTCTTGCACCTATTCCTTTCTCTGTGTCTCATTGGATGGAAGTCGAAGAGTTCGGACTGGAGATGAAGATGACGAAAACCAAGGCGATCAAGCATTAGATCCATCAGTACTTGACCATTATGCTACTCGTGCTAACTGGCAAGAAAATAACCCTGGAATTCTTAACCTTAATCTTGTACAATTTGCCTCTGCTTACTATGTCACTACGGGGGAGCTCAAACACCGTAAACAGGAAATAATTATTAGGACTTTTCCAATTTTCTCTCCAAATCCTTCGAGAAAGAATTATGGTAATTACTGCAAGTATGCTCTAGTTAAATATAAGCCTTGGTCTGGTGAAGTCAATACTGCATGGGATGGACTCGATGATAACCATGAAAATCACATTCAGTGCTATCATGCATTTCAGTGCTGCACATTTACATTCCAATCTTACAGCAAGAGTATGGTGCACTCCTGTACCAAACACACTGATGGTACAGGATCCACCATCAGGGTCGTCTTATTCGATTCCCCGAAGGTTTTCGATTTGATAGACCACGCGCTTCTCGCTAGGAACCTGCTGGCCCTGGACATGCCAGTTGGCATATCGTTGGGATCATCGATTTCCTTACAGATCGCACGCAGAGAGTCAAGTTGGGAGAAGATTGCTTGTCTGAATGGAGGACCGTACCAGCAGGGGTGCCTCAGGGAACCAAGCTCGGGCCGTGGCTATTTATTCTCATGATTGATGACATCAACACCAGTAACACGGAACTGTGGAAATACGTGGATGACACAACTATTGCAGACTGTGTTGACAAGAAGGAAGACAGCCGCATCCAATCTGATGTGGAGGAACTGATCGCTAAGTCTAACCAAAACAAGTTCCAGCTAAACGAGTCGAAGTGTAAGGAACTACGGATTTCGTTCGCTAAATCAGCCGCGGACTTTGCTCCCATTATTATCAACGGGAAAGCAATAGAGGTAGTGTCCACTGTTAAGTTGTTAGGTCTAAATATATCATCCGACCTTCGGTGGAACTGTCATGTTGCTGAAATAAGTAAAAAAGTAGCAAGTCGATTATATTTTCTTAAACAACTGAAGAGAGCGAATATTCCCGCCAAAGATCTGCTAATCTTTTACTTGACCTGTATCCGCACAGTAACGGAATACGCATGCCCGGTGTCTCACAACGCGCTTCCTGCATATTTATCTGCAGAGCTAGAACAGCTACAGAAGCGCGCCATGCGAATTATTTTTCCGTTTGTACCATATAGCGACGCATTAAATCAAGCCAACTTGGAGACGCTCTCTCGACGCAGGCAGTCTATCACAACTAAGCTTTTTGATTCCATCACTTGTAACTCAGACCATAAACTGCATGAGCTCTTGCCACCTCGTAACAATTGTGAATCCAATTTAAGACGAAAGAGAAATTTTAATGTCCCTCTGGCTAAGATGAAGAGACTTAAGAACGCATTTATATATAGCAACTGGAATTAAACTTTTAACAACATCTGTGTTTATTTTTCTTATACTTTTCTCATATTTTTATTAGATTTTATTATTGTAACAATTAATCTAATTCAGCTTTAGGGTGCGATTTTAATCAGAATAAACTATCTATCTATCTAGCGAGCTTGAACAAGCACATCGCTATAATGGAAATGTCGATGAAGATGACAACAGTGATGATGACAATGAGGAAGTGCCACAACGTGAGGGAGAACCAGGAGTGGATGCTGCTATATCGCCGCAATCAACGGTATGATAAAACAATCTCACAAGGAAGCCAGTCTCATGAAAACTTGCAGTTTGACTGGACAGAAACTGCAAGAGCAATGCCGCCTGCCCTACTACGTGAATCTGGTAACTGGATTACAAAACGCAGAAACGAGGCTCTAGAGGACCCAAGTGTTCTTAACAGACGATAGCAACAAACTGNAAAACCACCACGATGTGCCCCCACACACCCCCGTCTCCCTAACCTGTTGAATTAAAATGCTGCCCCCCCCCCCCCCCCCCCAGATCCACTACAAGTCATCATCACAGGAACCGCAGGATCAGGTAAGTCGTATCTTATTAATGCAATAAAAGTCCTTCTAGAAGACACATGTACACTAAAGCAACCACTGGTTTGGCAGGCTACAACATTGACGGTTGTACCTTACACTCAGCTTTACAGCTGCAAGTTCGTAATCATAATAATAATGACTTAGAAGGAACAGCATTGCATCGTCTGCAACTTCGTTTCTCCGGAAAGCAGTACCTTATTACGGATGAAATGTAAATGCATGGTCAGCGGACACTAGCTTGGGTAGATAAGCGTCTACGACAAGCCACAGGAAAACTTAATAAACCTCTTTGAGGGATTTCCGTTATGCTCCTTGGAGATTTTGCACAGCTACTACCCGTTGGAGGTAAGCCTATTTATGCTTCCCCATCCCAGTCCAGTTCTTTACTCACACAGTATGGACATTCCATTTATGGTCTATTTGAAACAGTGGTCATGCTATCAGAAAATATTCGACAGGCTGGAAACAATCCTGAGGCAGAACAATTTCGAGCAATACTCCTTTGCTTACGAGATGGTCAGAGTACTCAAGATGACTGGATGACACTCTGTCAGAGGACACCACAGCATGTTAACATGAGTGACTTCACAGATGCACCGCAATTATATTTTGACAAGCTCAGTGTGGCAAAGTACAACTTTGAGAAGCTTAGGAACCTAGGATCACAAATAGCTCGTATTTCTGCTCTTCATTCAGTTTTGCACTCGCATTACAAGTTTGCACTCGTGTTACAGAAGAACTGCGCTCCTTTCTCAGCCAATCAGAATTGAGTTATTTTTCCTGTTTATTATTAAGTGTGGTAATAGAATGGATAAACAAGCACGACCTTGCTCTCGCTTGGGAGGTTTTGTTATCGGAACGGCATCGTCTAAAGGAGAGGACAGTTGAAAGGGAAAAAGTGCGGCAAACAACAGCGGACAACCTCAATTCACACGCTACATTCAGGTTTCTTGTCACAAAGATGATACGTAATGTAATAAGAGACTGAACGCGTGTAGATCTTGCGTCAGATTTCCTTCCATGTGTAATTGCTCCTCAGTTGATGATCTGTTCTAATAAAGATGCTGATCAGAGAACTTAACATGGTGGCAGTGGTAAATCAACCAGAATGAGCGATGCAAAGGTTGCAGAACCAGCCGCAGAGGCCCAACCGATTTGCTGAACAACCAGCTCCTAATGCTGGAGCACAACCAGTGGTGCCATTGCAAGGTATACAACCCCTGACAGGATTGAATCTGTCCTCGAGAAACAAGGGCGAGATCTGGAAGTTATATAAGCAACAAAGGAATAACTATGAAACCGTGGCGCAGTTGAACGCTCAAACAGAGGAATATGGAATCGCTCTATTTCTTTATTCAATAGGCCCACAAGCTGTGATAACCTACAACGGCTTTGATTTAAGTTAAGAAGACAAGCGTAATCTCAATGCGATCATCGTGGGCTTTGACAGATACGCTACTGGACAGACAAACGAAGCATTCGAGCGTTATGTCTTCAACAAATGAGAACAACAAGAAGGCGAATCCATAGACCAGTACGTCGCGGAGCTGAGATTCTAGCCCAGTCGTGCAACTTCGGCAATTGTCTTCACGACTCCCTGATTAGTGACAGGATCGTTTTGGCATCAAAGATAGCGGAGCCCATAAGTGATTATTACAGCAACAGCAATTGACACTCCAACGACATCTGCAAGACAAGCAACACCTCAAACACACAGAGTCACTTGGTCAGTCTGTAAAGGAAGAAGTACGAAGGGTCAAAGAAAAAAGCAAGCGTGTAAAAAAAAAAACGGATGTGGGCGCGAAGGAATCAAAACAGAAAGGCCAGAAGTTGCCAGAAAAGAAGGTGCCAGCACAACGTACTTTTGTGGAGGAAATCACCAATTTGGCCAGCAACATTGTCCGGCTTGGGGGGGGCAAACCTAGTTCTTATGGAAAAGACAACCATAGCGCCAAATGCTGCCAGTCCACTAAGAGAAACAGGACGCATGGTGTAAGAGAAGAATACGAAGAAAGTTCAAGTGATGAAGGTGACATCAACGAAGAAAGCTCAAGTGAATCAGATTACATCGATTGCGTTACATCAACACCCGATTCTATTAGTACAGTCGAACACCGTGAAAGTGCGCAAGAAATTTACGCAGAAATGATCCTGAAAGGAAAAGCAATCCGCTTTCAAGTAGATTCTGAGGCGACTGTCAATGTACTACCTGCAAAATACGTAGGACACGAGGAGATTTACCCGACCAAGAAGTTCTTACAAATGTGGAATAGATCGGAATTGAAGCACGAGGGTGTCACACGTGTCAAGATCCGAAATCCGAGGAATGACAAGAAATATTCCGTGAGTTCGTCATTGTGAAGGAGGAGTTAACCCCATTTCTAGGAGCAAAAGCCAGCCAACACATGGGACTCCTCCAAGTACACCCAGAAAATTTCGTGCGGGCAGCAGGCGTCAAGACTGCTGACCAACTTATCGAGGACTATCAAGATGTCTTTGAAGGAGACCTAGGACCTCTTCCAGGAGCTCAGCGATTAGAAGGCGATCCCGGAATATCACCAAATATATCACCCTCGAGACGAGTACCCTTAGTGCTGAAGCCGAGACTCAAGCAAGAACTAGAGAAGCTCACGAAATTAGGTGTGATAGCACCAATGGATGCACCCACAGACTGAATCAGCAACATTGTGATTGCGACAAAGCCATCTGGTGACCTGAGGATCTGTATTGATCCGAAAGAGCTCAATAAAGCCCTTAAGCGGGAAAGATATCCCATCCCAATGATAGAGGATGTGTTGCCAGAACTATCAAAAGCCAGAGTATTCACAAAACTTGATGCTCACAATGGATACTGGCACGTGATACTTGATAAAGAGTTAGCCAAACTGACGACGTTTGACACCCCCTTTGGGCGTTACTACTGGAGAAGACTACCTTTTCGTCTCGGTGTCTCCTCTGAAATTTTCCAGAAACGAATCCACCAAACTTTAGATGGACTACCTGGTCTGCTTGATGTACATGATGTCACGGATATATATGGGGTTGGTAACACTGATGAACAGGCTGATGTGGATCACGACAGAAACTTAGAAAGGTTTCTGCAGCGATGCAGACAAAAAGGAATCAAGCTTAACAAATTGAAGCTTAAACTCAAGTGCACAGAATTCCCCTACCTCAGACACCTTGTCACCAAAGAGGGCCTGAAACCAGACCCGGACAAGATAAAGCTTGTGCAAGAAATGCCGCAACCGGACAACATCAAAGCAGTCAGAAGATTCTGTGGATTCGTCAATTACTCAGCAAAGTTTATGCCGAAACTAAGTGAAGTCATGGAGCCTATTAGAAACCTCACTTGCAAAGAAAATGAGTGGAAATGGACCCATGAACATGACGCAGCTGTAAAACGAATCAAAGAAATGGCCACCACATCGCCACCTCTCAAGTACTACAACCCAGAAGACGCACTAACAATCCAATGCGATGCCAGTGAGAAAGGGCTCGGAGCAGCAATACTACAGAAAGTGGCTTTTGCAAGCCGTGCCCTCACAGACACAGAATCCAGATATGCGCAGATTGAAAAGGAACTTCTTGCTGTGGTCTTCGCACTTGACAAGTTCGAACAATAATTTGCTTGCATTAACAGAGGGGTACCACAAGCTACTGTCCTCGAGCCCATATTGTTCTCTATTATGGTAAACAACATAAGACCGGTTTACCCGGAGCGCAATCTATTGCTCAAATATGCCGACGATCTTACACTAAGCCTACCTGATCACTCTTTCATTGAGGTTAACAGCATTCAACACTGGGCGGTAAAAAACCGTATGAAACTAAACCTCACTAAGACCTGGGAGATGCACCACGTACCGTCTTAAAGGTTTGGTGACGGTGGAGACCATGTCCCCTAACTTGCCTTTTCGACCAACTTTAACGAACCGTATTAAAAGGAGGAGAATCCATCGGACTGGGACCTTCATGTTGACAATTTGTTACGCAAAGCTAGTAGTCGTTTATACATTTTACGCGTTTGTAAATATTTTGGACACCCTAAGGAACGACCGACAAAATTATTTGATCTTTTAATTATGTCCCTGTTTTTGTATGGAATTGAGATTTGGGGAGCGGCATATCAAGGTAAATACCTTGATCGCATTGACAAGCTTTTTAAGCGAGCGTTCAGATTTGGATGCACCAACAACCTGTATGCAATAGCTAAAGTTATCAGAAATCGAGACTGTAAGCTTTGGAACACTATCACGGATACTCCTTCCCATCCCCTTTACCAACTATTACCCCCTAAGAAACACAGATTTTTGCCAAACAAAGGACATGATTTTATTTTACCTGCTGTTAAAACAGAACACTTTAAGAAATCTTTTATTAATAGGTGTCTTTTAAATTTTATTTAATTGTACTTGATCTTAAATAGATTGCATTGTCATGTATGTAAAGCCACAGGTATGTTGTGACTACCCAACTATGAATAAAGACTCTTATTAATATGCATATGGCAAACCTGTCACAATCGAGAGTGACCACAAACCCTTGGAGGCCATTGCCAAAATGCCATTAAGATGTGCACCCAAGAGACTACAAGGGATATTTCTCAAGATTCAGAAGTTTGACATCAACATCGTCTGCAATCCAGGATCTCGAATGTACCTAGCTGACACACTAATCCGGGTGTACCTGCCCTCAAGTAAGAACACTCAGGGAGACTTTGAGATGGTTAATGTACTAAAGATCCTACAAGAAAGGCATCATGAAATCATGGGACATACTAGCAAAGACGTAGTCCTTTAGCTGTTCAAAGAAATAATTCTAACTGGATGGCCAGTGGACAAGAAAAGCCTTCCTGCTGTAGTGAACCCCTACTACAGTTACCGGAATGAGTTGTCCGTGTACAATGGACTTGTTTTTAGGGGAGAACCCCTTGTTATTCCACACGCTATCAGACCATGAAACAGCTGCACAGCTCCCACTTAGGAATCAATGGATGTCTAAGAAGAGCCCGCAAGTGTCTATTTTGGCCGAGCATGAGCACTGAAATAAAGGAATACATAACCCAATGTGAAATATGCAGCCAGTAGTCAGCTAAGCAAGCCAAGGAGCCACTGATGGGCCAAGAGCCCACTGACAGGCTGGGGAAAAAGTCGCAGTAGACATCTGCAATCTTGACAACAAGGATTATTGTATTTCTGTGGACTATTTCTCCAATTTATGGGAATTGAAAGGCTTAGAAATACCAAAGCATCCACATGTGTCAGAAAGCTGAAGAGTCAACTTGCAAGAAACAGCATTCCTGATGTTGTAATCTCAGACAACGGACCACAATTCACCTCTTCAGAGTTCGCTCAGTTCGGAAGAGAATGGGGCTTTGAGCATAGGACAAGCAGTCCTTGTCATCGACAGGCAAATGGTCAGGCTGAATCTGCTGTCAAGATGTCCAAGAGCATCCTCAGGGAGGCAAACAAAAGCAAAAGTGACCTCACGTCCCAATACTTCAACACGAAACACCCCTACAGAATATATGGATTCAAGACCAGTGCAAAGACTGCTGGGAAGATGCACCAAAACCCAATTGCCCATAACAGTTGAACTCCTCAAACCACAGCATTTTCAACACAGAGGACACCAACAAGCGAATCAAAACACGTCAACAAAAACAAGCGCACTACTACAACAGAAAAGCAAGAGACCTACCCCCGTTACAAGAAGATGTTGTACGCATGAGACCATTCACGGTGAATGGGAAGACATGGGACAAAGGAACGGTGACAAAAAGACTAGATGAGCGAGTAGTATTACTTGCTTAACAGGGGCACTTAGTACTTCATGTCATAGTCACGAAATCTCCTCTAGGGTTGTACGTCATGAAGTAGTAGATCACAAACTGTCCTCGGTCAAAATGTGCAGTAAGTCAACTTGTTGTAGAAACTTGTTGAAAAATAAAGGTATCGTAACATGAACGGGGCTATAGCTCAATCGGTAGCGCGCTCGCTTTGCAAGCGAGAGGTTCAGAGATCGAAACTATGTGGTTCCTTGTTTTTCTTCAGGTTAAAGAAACTTGCGTAAAACGTATCTAAGTGAAAAAGAGATGCCGTGATTGAAAAAAGAAACCTGAAAGAGAAGCGGGAGGATTTCAACTGGTTAGCTTCGAATTTAAATAATTGGCGCCCCTAATAATGTCAACGCTGTGCGCTAAACATGTTCGCGGCCAAAAGAAGAAGGAAAAATAAGATAAAAATGGTCAACAAAGAATACAATATTGAATAATGTACTCAATGTTGACTAAACGTCTCGACAGGGAATCCAACCCCGGTCTCCTGCTCGACAGGCAGAGATACTAAACCACTATACTATCGAGACTTTCTGAGTATTGGTCATGACTTTTAGTCAGGTGGTGGCTCCTAAAAGAGCCGTTTGTTCTTTGTGATTGTCTTTTCAATGAAACTTGGATAGCATGAATGCGGGTCGATTCTGTTGATATGTTACGTTGTAGTCTGCTTCATTGGTTACTTGGTAGTCAGTGTATCGATGAATAAAGCTTACAGCGCAATAGTCCATCACACCGTAGCAGATGAAAAGAACAATCCTCTTCTTCACAGCATTCAGACGATTCATTACATTATCAGGCGGAATCATGATCTTCACATACGGATCATGCTCCAACATTGTCTGGAACGAAACAGTCATAAACATATTCCAAACCACGGGACCAAAAGAAGACAGGAGACAGATGTGAGGCTTTGTGTCTTTTGTTCTCATCAGACGCTGGAAAGCTTTCGCTCTAGCAGAATGAAGTACTAACTCATGAGACATGTCGACTCTAAAATAATCTAAGTTGAAACGCGTGTTTTTTATAAGCTACCCGTTCCAGTCAGTGGTTTCGTATGCTAATGTTGGTGACTAGAAAAAGACAAAGAACATGTAAATTCGCGGAGTCAGCAAGCATGTGCGGGGTTTATTGCGTGTGGTACTCTGAGTATTGGTCATGACTTTTAGTCAGGTGTTGGCTCCTAAAAGAGCCGTTTGGTTTTGAGTTCTTACAATGAAGAACTAACGTAACCACGGTTTGCGCTTACTTAAAAATATTGTACGGTACGTGCGCGTAAAAGCGTAAGCTGTTACAATTTCCTATTTATTACCCTCACGTTTTTCGGAGTAATAAATAGCGATGTCTTTGGCAGGAAAACCTTCAGGATCCCTCCCAATTGTTTTGTGGACAGCGAATACGTATAAGCAATAATGCCCATGTCCTTTTTTCAGCCGTCTTCTAAAAGTTCGACATCTTCATTCTCCTCTTCCCAGGTTTTCGCGGACAAATCGGCTAAAGTGGATGATAAGTTGAACGTCAACCA